AGGCCCTCCCTGACCACCCTGTTTAGTGTTGCAGCGCCCACCTCTGCATTCACTGTTTGCCTTTCGTGCCCTTTTTCCACGTTCTAATGTGACATAAATTTACCCATGTGTTTTATTTATTGTGTATCTCCCCACAGTTGTTCAATGAGGACAAGAATTTTTATCCTTTTTCCCTCCTTTACTCATGTACCTGCAGCACCTAGAATGGCCTGGCACATACTAAGGGCTCAGTTATAACTTTTTGAATGAATGAAGACAGGAGTTGTTTAGTATTTTGGGAGGTATCGCACTGTCCTGAGTACACCTTATAGAGCAAAATTAGTCAAAAGATGTGTTTTGTTTATCTCAGTTGAATCTTTTATTCACTTGATAGCTATCATTTCTGTAGAGTGGTGATGACTGACTTGAGGCCTATCAGAACCTAATTGAAAATTGTATAATTTGGTTAACTGTTTAATCAAATAGGCATTCAGTGACTAGGACCTGAATCAGGGGGAGCAGACATTTTGCTCAAACTGTGTTTGGAAAGCCAAACTTAAACTGACAGGTGAAGTCATTAAAAGGTTGTTAAAGAACTAAGAAGAACTTCTATGGGAGGGAAAAAACCTTTTTGATCTGATACAATTCTGATACGTGTTAAATGCTTTTATTCCATATAATAAGTAGCTTATTTATTTTGTCATTTAGTCTAGTCAATGACAACTAATTTACTACCAGATGAACTATTTCCATATAATAAAATAAATGAAAAATAAACCAGTTTTTTGTGAGAATGCAAACTAATATGTGCCTTTTGGAAAGATGATCTAAAAATAAACCTGCCATTCGATCCTACAATTCCTCTACTAGGCATATATCCAGAAGACCAAAAATCACATTATAACAAAGATATATGTACCAGAATGCTTATTGTAGCCCAATTCAAAATTGATAAGTCATGGAAGAAGCCCAAGTGTCCATCTACCCATGAATGAATCAATAAATTGTGGTATATGTTCACCATGGAATATTATGCAGCCTTAAAGAAAGATGGAGACTTTACCTCTTACATATTTATATGGATGGAGCTGGAACATATTCTTCTTAGGAAAGTATCTCAAGAATGGAAGAAAAAGTGTCCAGTGTACTCAGTCTTACTATGAAACCAATTTATAGCTTCCATATGAAAGCTATAACCCAATTGTAGCCCAAGAAGAAGGGGAGAGGGAGGGGAGGGAGAGTAATTGGTGGGACCACACCTACGGTGCATCATACAAGGGTACATGTGAAAGTTGCTAGGTGTAGAATATAAATGTCTTAACATAATAACCAAGAAAATGCCGTGAAGGTTATGTTAACCAATTTGATGAAAACATTTCAAATTGTATATAAAAACAGCACATTGTACCCCATGATTGCATTAATGTACACAGCTATGATTTAATTTAAAAAAAAAAAAGCCAGTTTTTTTTTTTTCGGGCGGTGTCTGTGGCTCAAGGAGAAGGGCGCTAGCCCCATATACCAGAGGTGGTGGGTTCAAACCCAGCCCCAGGCAAAAACTGCCCCCCCCAAAAAAAATTAACCAATTTTTCAATTATTCATTCAGGTATATTTTATATAATTTAATTATTTTTATAATAGTTTGATTGCAAAAACAAATAAAATTCTCCTTTTTAATAATGTTGGATTAAACTTCCGTAGATGTCTGTTTCACTTGACCAAGGAAGTAAATCTGGGTTTAACTCCTTTTAAGAACTATTAACTGGACATATGTTGTATAAAAAACCAAAATAGATGGAAATGTAAGATATTCATTTTACCTTGTTTTATAGTCATTTATGACTTAAGCATTGTAAACAGAAAGATGAATCATGAGATTCCAGTTAGGGGTAAAAAGCAATGTCATGTTAATTTTAAAGCAGAGACGTGGCTCAGCGCCTGTGGCTCAAGTGGCTAAGGCGCCAGCCATGTACACCCAAAGTGGCAGGTTCAAATCCAGCCCAGGCCCGCTAAACAACAATGATGGCTGCAACCAAAAAA